ATCTGATACTTTTTGGTAGTTCAAACCTTGATAGCATATCATTTTGAAAATTCCTGATACATTTTCTGTGTGAAATTTAATCTGAAAAGTAGCTTAACCCGTGTCAGATAAATTTCGTCAATTAAGAAATGAAATATTTCCCTTAATTGTAGTGGAGTAGCAGCTTAAACTTGCTTTAAATGGAGATACTCAAGTAAAAGTACATCAAAATTGTACTTTGTTTACCAGATGAGTCTGCAAATCAAAGCAAAGGATGTGTGTACTGATGTGTTAGCAAAAACAAACTAACTAGTAGTATGGTAAGAAAATTATATCGTTCAGTTAGTGTAGTTTTTAGTCGTGTGTTATAAGAAGGGAAGGAATAATAAGTTGTAGCCTCAGCACATTCATGGTCTGTTTCTTTAAATTCCTGTTTGTTGAACAGCCACATAGTGCTCTATGTGGGACCTATGAATTATAGAAACTAAAAATATATACAAGGAGACATTTCATACAACCCCCCCTCAACCTGCACATCCTCCAACACTATGGGAAGCAGCTTGTCTTTAGCTTCCATGTGGCAGAAATAATCCACATCAATGGCTGCATAACATGCAATGGCATTTAATGTCCCCACAGCTCAGTAGTGGATGCCAGTGGCACTGTGATGTACGTTCAATTCCTCCGCTGAGAATGATGTGAGTTGACAGTGGATTTGGTCAGGATTGGTGTGACATGAACTCTGTGAACAGGGACCCATCCTCGAAAAAGCAGCTACAAATGATATTTCTTCTTTCTTGTGCACCTGCTGACGAACAGCCAGACTCACTCGTTGGAAGAGGAAATAAAAAATCAGCTGGATTAGCAGTTATGGGTGTCTAATATGCAACAGATCACATAACTAGCATGGAATTATATTTGGTAATATATTTACTGCGTAGATATTTTAAATCCAGTTAATCCAGATAAAAATAAAGTGCTGTTTTTCAAATTGTACACGGAGATATTTTAATGTTTAAGCTCTGATATCAAAACAATCTGAACACTGTCAGAGCTCAGGGACGCCTGTCTGTCTAAATCTATCAAGCTACAATTCTCCACACACCCTTTCATCACATCTTGTGTAGTGTTCTCTGCAGCATAACACTAAATTCACCAGGTCAGTCAATGTTTGCCAGATCAAACATTACATTTTCACAACTAATATTCACACACAACAAATATTAAAGCACACAAGAGCGTCTCCATTAATAATGCGTCTGACGAGAGGGATTATTCCTTTAACGGGGATGAAGCCAACCACAAGTGCCAAAGCAACAGATGCACGAGGCGGCAACAGATGTGTAAATCAACCCTCATGAATAACTCAAAAAATCCACTTCAGGATGTTGAAACTTTGCAGAGCAGATTAAACACACGGCACTGCTGCGTGATGCTTTTAACCTGGGCACAGCGAGATACATTTCTAAAGAGGTTTGTTTGTTTCTCATCTCTTTTTCTTCGGTAAGCCTGAGTGGTCAGGACAGCATCAGCTGGCATTAGTCAGCCCGAAGGCTTATCTATTAACGGTATAGATGCGCTGCTCTCTGGAGCAAACTGGGGAGTCAATGTGAGTTTGTTTTACACACCTATGGCTCCCTGTTGCCCCGGGGTCACAAAAACTCATTAAGGATGTATTAATGGCTCAGTCGAAGCTCTATCTGAGAAACCATCTGTGACTGCACGTGTGATAAACAGCAGGGGAAAGAAGTAAAACCACATGTTAACTGGCAATAAAATTCGATTTTAGCCGTGGCATTTACAAAATGAGCTTTCTTCTGAGGAAAAGACGAGCATGGAGACTTACAAAGCACACGAGGAGAGCTGCAGCCTCTCACCCCAGTATAGATCAGGAGTTAATTATAGTCCTTACCCAATTCTTTGTGGTCAGAGCTGTGGGTGGACAACAGGAAGAGGTAATCCTGACAGGTGTCCTGGTCCAACAGTGAGCTGTTGTGCAGGCAAAGGTCAACAATTAGGGTCACAGCTTTCTGACAGACCATGTCATACTCCTCTCGGTCAGAACTCATGCTCCCAGCTGCATCCTCAGCCGAGTGTGTGCTTATCCAAGGGGACTAACACACCCACACACACGCAGCAGCAGCAGCAGCAGCAGCAGCAGCAGCAGCAGCAGCAGCAGCAACCTAACATGCAGAAGATGAATTCAACTTGTCTCCGTCCTCGGCTGATTCTCCTTCCACGGTGTCTCAAATGTGTTTATGCACAAACACACTTGAGTGTATGTACAAATGTGTGTGTGTGTGCCTCAGTTTGTGTGTGTAAGCAGGGCCATGGTAAGTGCATGAACATGTTGTATGCGTACTAATGTGTGTGTGCAGTAATGTGTGAGGACTTAATGAATCATATTTGTCCCCAGGTGATGGAGGGGCAGAATTATTGCATCACATACATACATACGCTACAGAAAGCAAGTCACAAAGAAACACAACAACTAACCAGAGCCTAGGAAAAAAAAAAAAAAAAACGCCCCCTCCTCCACCTCCTGTCTCTTCATTGCTCTGTTACCACATCACTCCCCTGCCACACCCCCACCCCCCACCCTCAATGTGACTGTAAAGCCCCCGCCGCCACTCCTCCTCTGAGTCTGCACAAACAGAAAAAACCTAACGACCACTGGGCTTGTTTTTCTCACAGTTGGACAGATTCGGTCCCTGCAGGTCAAAATGTCTCCTGTGATAAAGTCCTCCTCGAGCTGAACCACCTGTGACTCCTCAGGTCTCGCTGCTCCCACCGACAATCCCCCCGTCGCTCAGATTGTGATCCCTGAGTGTTTACAACCTGTAATGATGAGGGTTTAACTATGTCTGTGAACAGGAGTAACAACGACAGGGAGGAGGGAGAACAAGTCATGAGGCTGCACAGTGTGAACTAATGCTGATATGTGCAGTAGAAGTACTTTTATCAATATTGTACTGTAAAAATACTCCTGCTGTCATGTCTGATTCAGTGATTCAAAATATTTTATTTTCCGTGCCCTCAGTTCGGATGTGAGTGGGCATGTTTGTCCAAAAAGTGCTTTTTGCTTTGTGTGGTAGTGGTGCTTCACTTCCACTTTCAGTAATCACCGCGCTCTCGGGACATATAATGACACATACTGGTTTTAAACTGCCCGTGGGAATAATGAATACATAAACATGTGTCCATTCTTGATTAAAAGCTCTGTTTTCGCTGTCTACTTTTCTCTCTTTAAAGCACGCCATGTGAAATTACTTTTCCCAAACTCTTTTTTTCTCTTTTTATGGTTGTCTCTCGTCTCATCTAAGCCCCGAGGAACAACGCTGGGCTTTGAAGCCAATTTAAAATAGTGGCAGATAGTGGAATTACACCATTCAGGTTGGACACGTGATGCTATGGGACCCAAAAAGACCTTTTCCCATAGACTTACATTATGAAAGAGACGTCTGTAAATCAGTGGATACATTTTTATGAGCGTCACAACCCCACGAAATGTTCACGATCAGTATTTGATTCATACGGTCTGATAACATTTCATATGTCTAGAAGAGCTGCAAGACTTAATAGTTTTATCCTCATTCAAGTTAGCAGAGTGCTAAATTGGAAGTTAGCCACTCGGCTGCACTCAGCTAGCATAAGTCTGTAGTGTGCTCGCTGTTTGGGCCCCACAATGCGAAAGATCTGGGTAATTTCATAAAACGGATATAGAGATATTTTGACTTTATGCACCACTGAGCAACTTCCATAGGAATGAACAGAGGCCGGCCTCCAACACTGTATCTAGGTCTCTTTATATACCCATGATCTCATCTTTCCTGTGTGTATCTCACTGACTGTAGTCCCAATGCTTATCAGAATGCAGAGGTTTGATTGGATGAGCAGGATCGCATGAGATGATTTAAAGGGAAATTTCGGTTTATCTCAACCCGTCTCCTATCGTCCTAAATTTGTTTCAAGTGACTAGTGACATAGAAATAATAGTTAGCATGTTAGTCGTTAGCCTAGATACAGCCGGGGCGTTAGTTAGTTAGTCCACTAAACAAGCTTTTTTTCCACAAAGACCGCCTCATATCATTAGGATAAATGTCAGAGAACATATAGAAAACGACATGTAAACGTGTTGTCTTACCTTACCGGTGTGCTGCCATGTTTGTTTACCATTTAGCTCTGCTTTCCAAAGCGGGGCCGAAATATCGCAAGAACAAGCAGCGATCTCATATCGTGCCTGAACAAGCAGCAACAGCTGGAAGGCAGGACCAGACAGTAGCCTGAAAAGTTCATTCATTTATTTTATGAAAGATTTATAGAATAATGGCTGACTTTTTGCCAGACTTCGACTTTGTGGAGGAGGAATTTGATTTTGCAGAGTTTGATGGCCGCCCTTATTTATTTGAGCCAGAATACACTGACGAAGAGCTTCATGAAATTGAAGAATGGAGGAGGAGAGAGAGAGAGGCGCAACAGGTAGAGGACGAGAGAGGAGGAATGGCTGCTGCAAGGCTGCGTAGCTCTGGAGATTGGTGGTGTACCTGTGAATGCTGTGCCCCAGTGCCCACAGAAGAGGAATGCCTCTGTTGCAAGGAATGGGACCGGTTGCAGCCTTATTTTCAAGGTCTGGGTGTGACCGAGGACGAGACACCTCCACCTGGAGTAACGTTAGTATCCAGCTGGGCTTTAGAGCTCGCAAGATATATTTCGGCCGCGCTTTGGAAAGCAGAGCTAGATGGTAAACAAACATGGCAAGATAAGGTAAGACTAAGGTAAGACAACACGTTTACATGTCGTTTTCTATATGTTCTCTGACATTTATCCTAATGATATGAGTCGGTCTTTGTGGAAAAAAAGCTTGTTTAGTGGACTAACTTTGCACTTGAAGGTTGCCTGTTCACTTACGTTTTATCAGGTCTGACGCTACGGCTGTATCTAGGCTAACGGCTAACATGCTAACTATTATTTCTATGTCACTAGTCACTTGAAACAAATTTAGGACGATAGGAGATGGGTTGAAATAAACCGAAATTTCCCTTTAACACAGTGATTCCCAACTGGTCCAGCCACGGGGTCCAAATTAGGGTTGTCATGAGAACCGACACTTCAGTACCAAGTCGATGCCAACAAGCAAAAAATACGTAGGTACCTGTTTTTTTTCGGTACCTTAAGTACCAGATACAACTTTGCCCTCAGCAGGCCATGTTGATTCATGTCGGAACTGACGGGGGCAGTATACGCGCGTCAGTCGGTGCCGAGGATGAGCGCCAAAGAGGAACCCCTGTTCTCCATCGTCTTTGCTAGAAACAATGGCTTTTACAAGTGCTGCTGGAGCCACAACACCTCTGCTTGTTGAAAAGTCAGGTAGTAGGAGTCCTGTGTGGAGAGGGATAGGCCTCCTACACCGCAAGTGATGCGTTCGCCTAGTGCTTGCAAACGGTCGCTGTTTACTCACGTTTTCATTTCGGCGAGCATGTTGACAGGTTAGAGCATTTGCACCGCATCCGTTCTACGCGCTGCTCGAGTCGCGCTGCTTTCGCGAGCAAGCTCAAAAATAGAAGACACACCGTTTTTTTTGCGCGACTCGCGAGTGAATGGTCACGGTATTCAACAAAAAACATGAGTTTGTGTGTGTTGTGACCTCTCTCGGCCACCGTAGATATCTCCCCCTTGACCAAGCAAGACCTGACAGGCACATGTTTCATGTACTTACCTATATGTAATGCTAAATATTAATTCTCCAGGTGTTGGAATAATCACTGGCACGCGAACCTGTCCACCCTGGGCTTTGGGTCCAAACTCACTTCTTCTTTGGGGTTTATTGGAGATTTGCAAACACAGTGCACTACCGCCACCATCTGTTCGGTATTGGTGTGAATACACGTGTGCTGCCGCAATTCTTGTGGATTGCTTGCGGTGTAAATGAGGCCTTAGATTTAAAGTTTGAAACAGTTTTAATAAAGTAGTGAATATAGAAATACATGAGTTCTGTTTTTTGATTTTTATCGTGCTGTCAAATGAGTATCGAGAATTGTGGAGATTCACTGGTATTGGTATCGACTACTGAAATTCTGTTATCGTGACAAGCCTAGTCCAAATTTCACCTTAGTTATTAGTTCAAGGTCCACGCAGTTTAATATATTCAGTGTCATACTTGTGTTTGGCCATGTCATCGAGCTAGTTTGCTGTTTCTGTCAATGAGCTGTCTGTTAGTCACTAACTCTACAACAGGAAACAACCAACAAAGTAAAAGAAATTCACAAACTTAAAAATAAAGTGTTTTTTACAAACTTGACATGTTTGCAAGTCACCTGCGGTCCATTCAGAATGAACCTGCAACCCACTTCTGGACTGTGACACACCAGTTTGGAACCACTGATTTAACACATGCAGTTGGTTTGTAAGTGTCCAGGTCTGCTTACCAGTGCTACAAATGCTGCACTGTTTGAAAGAAACAGTCCGTCAGTGTTTCCTAATTCTCAATGGAGGGACTGCAGGTTTACAAGGGGGACACATTTTGGTCTCTCTATATATATTATATTACAGACACAGCATTTTAATGTTACACTGGTGGAGGTGGAGCACATTTAGACCTCTTAAAGGTTCTGTAAGCAGCATCAGGGCATTAATATAGCAGCAAACCAGTGTTATCCATGTAAAGATATAGTGGAGTAATGGCATCCTTAATTTCTATAAATACACAGCATCTGTAGGGACAGGACAACATTTGGGTATCAGAAGTGTTCTGGTTACCCGAGTCGTACTGACAAATCATGTTTTAATGATGGTAACAGTCTGTGTGAAGAAGCGAAATGCAATCAGGGTCCATTGGCGATTGCAGTTAGGCTTTTTATTAGCTTGTTTTATTTATCTGCATTCATATGCAGATATCTGTATATAGAGATTAGTCCGAAATGATTGGCACACATAAGAGTAGGTCTTGGCTTGGATATCTGATGACTTCACCGGATCGGCCTGAAATATTGGCCTTCACCCCCAGAAACTTTATCATCATCAGACTGAATGGGTTCAGAGATTGTGATGCCCTGAGCAGAGAGTGAAGTCATGCTACCTCTTTGATTTTTGTAATCTGAGTTTCTCTGT